AGTGGGAGAATTGCTTAAGCCCAGGAGTTCGAGACCAGCCTGGGCAACATAGGGGAATCCCAGCTCTATAGAAACTTCAAAGAAAAAAAAAGTCCATACAGTTATGTGTCAATTACAAATTTAAAAATATTTAAAAAGTCATTTGTCATTTTCAGTCTTGTTCTGAGTACCCAGTGCTGTTTACCAAATGGTTAAATGACATACTGTCTTTATTACTACAGCTCCTGAGAGCTGATTGTGTACTCCCAACTCTGTTTAGAGGTATCATGTAGATAGTTTGAACTCAGCCATGGTGAAGTATTTACACAATGAAAATTAGCAAAATTGGGGCTTTTTCATGAATAGCTGGTTAAACAATTACCAGCCCACCACTAGTTGTTAACATACATAAACGGCCAGGCACAGTGGCTCACGCCTGTAATCCCAGCACTCTAGGAGGCTGAGGCAGGCAGATCACGAGGTCAGGAGTTTGAGACCAGCCTGACCAACATGGTGAAACCCCGTCTCTACTAAAAATACAAAAATTAGCCAGGCATGGTGGTGTGCGCCTGTAATCCCAGCTGCTCAGGAAGCTGAGGCAGGAGAATTGCTTGAACCTGGAAGGCGGAGGTTGTGGTGAGCTGAGAGTGCACCATTGCACTCCAGCCTGGGTGACAGAGTGAGACTCTGTCTCAAAAACAAAAAACATACATAAACAAAAACTCATTGTAGTCCTATACTACATACATATTTTTGACATGGGGTTTCAGGTTGAACTCAAGGTTTTGGACTCAAGGGCTCCTCTGGGTTCAGCCTCCCAGGTAGCTAGGACTACAGATATCTGCTACCATGCCTGACATAGTCCTCAATTGTGTGTGTGTGTGTGTGTGTGTCTCACTCTGTCACCCAGGCTGGAGTTCAGTGGCGCAATCTCAGCTCACTGCAATCTCTGCCTCCCAAGCTCAGGTAATCCTCCCACCTCAGCCTCCTGAATAGCTGGGATCACAGGCATACACTCCCACACCTGGCTTTTTTTTTTTTTTTTTTTTTTTTTTTGTATTTTTTTGTAGAGACAGAGTTTCACCACTTTGCCCAGGCTGGTCTTGAACTCCTGGGCTCAAGCTATCCTCCCCCCTCAGTCTCCCAAAGTGCTAGGATTATAGGTGTGAGCCACTGCGCTGGGCCTCAGTTCTTTATTTTTTTAAATTTTAATTGTATTTTTAATTTTTTTGAGACAGAATCTCACTCTGTTGCCTAGGCTGGAGTGCAGTGGTGCAATCTTGGCTTACTACAACTTCTGCCTCCCATGTTCAAGCAATTCTCATGCCTCAGCCTCCAGAGTAGCTAGGAGTATAGGTATGAGCCACCATGTATGGCTCATTTTTGTATTTTTAGTAGAGACAGGGTTTCATCATGTTGGCCAGGTCCTGGCCTGCCTCCTCCTCCCAAAGTGCTGGAGTTACAGGCATGAGCCACCGTGCCCGACTTCAGTTCTTAATTTTTAATTGTTTAAAAGGATTCTGAGACCAAAAAGTCTAAGAATCACTTGATACAGTGATTCTTTATCTATGGAACTAGAAAATCTTAGTAGAGGAAAAAGCAAAAGGCCAAAAGCAAAAAATAAATAAAGAAAGAAAGAAAGAAAGAAAGAAAAAAAAAAAAGGAGACTTTCAGACACTTGACCCTATCAGATCTTTTACAGCGATTCATACTAAGTTGCTTTCACCAAAATGCCACCACTGCCTTTCTCCCATGGGGGTCATTGTTGACCCAGTCTTTCCTCAAAGACCATGGAGGTCTGGGGTTGAATGATGAGCTGCTTCTGAAATTTGAAGAGAGCCCAAAGGCTGCTAGGAAGGGAGAGGGGCTGCCACCTCCTCTAGCAAACACCAAAGATCTATTGCCTTACGTCCTAGGGCTACTTGTGGACCAAAAATGGAACTTCAAGGTACTGCTAGGAAAAGAATGGCAGCAGATCAAGTTTTCCAGATAATGAATTCCAACTTCAGTAAGTGGGTAAGAGGTTCATGACACAAATATATTTGTGTTAGGTGAATCAATCACCAGGATACTAAGATCTGCTACTTTCACAAACTGCTCTGAGGCCATTTAAATATGGAAGGAACTTCATAGCCAGCTCTTCTGCTCCAGGCTCCTTTTGAACTATTTAATGTGGTGTGGAAAATGTCAGCTTGCTGAGGATTTATCATCTCATTAGAGAGCTCCCTGGGAAGGAAAAGGCTGACATTTTAAAAAAGGATTTTCATTAAAGAATTCAATAGGGAGTTGATTATGTTGCAGAATCACATCTTCTTGTTTTGTGACACACTGAAAACAAACTTTAGAGCTTTTTCATCTCCACTGTACAGAGGTCTGATTGCTTCTGTTTAAAGATGGGGATCCAGGGCCAGGCAAGGTGGCTCGAGCCTGTAATCCCAGCACTTTGGGAGGCAGAGGAGGGCAGATCACCTGAGGTTCAGAGTTCAAGACCAGCCTGACCAATATGGTGAAACCCTGCCTCTATTAAAAAAATAAATAAACAAAGAAAATAAAAGATGGGGATCTGCTGAGAATTTCAGCCAGCTTCTTCAGGTCTGTCTGAATACATGATTGTTTCTTCAGTGCCAGCTTTGGCTAGACTGAAAGCAAAGGCTCATTACGGTGCTGTGTCCCCAGGCAACATAGAGGGCTTTGTCATCTCAGGCAGTAGAATGTGGCCACATACACCTGATTATCAAGAGCCTGAAGCAATTCCTGGTGGGCTGGTCCAGTGGTCAAACTGAAAGCCCCTGGATATACCAACAGCTGGCAGCCTCTCTGTGTATAGATCTGTGCAAGCTCTGCAAACCGGATGTCGTAGCCGATGCCTAGACTCATTCTGCAGTAGGGAGTATCAAATATGGAGAAACTATCCCCCAGACTCAATATTTTAAAGATTCTTGAAATGTCATTTTTCCGGGAACACCAGTGTCAAGCAGACGGACCGTTCTGTGCTTTACTAGTAAAGTTCCATGAGGTGCAAACACAGCACAGCACAGGTGTTATATAATTTCCCGGCATCCTCTTCAGGGATGGAGCCTCTAGTGAGGCTGTACTTTGCTACTTCAGAAAGCTTCTGTGTGGATTTACCAGGAATTTTCGCTGCATATTCAGGAAAATATTTTGTGCCATATGGAGAATTAAAGCATTCCAGCAAAGAAACTATTTTGGCTCCTTGCACTGCTGTCTCCCGGACAAGGCTACAAGCTCCAGTGTTGTTATCTGATTTGATAAAGAAGCTTGAAGCTGGATGACGGCCAAGTGGAAAGTTGCCATAGCCCTCCTGGGAAGCACCAGCAGTGGAACTGGCTGAGTGCAGGTGTGCCTATATTACTTTCTAAGTCACCGAAAATAAAACAAAAATGTTAACGTTTATCCTAAAGCTTTTTTTTGATTCTTGCTCTGTCACCTGGGCTAGAGTGCAGGGACACGATCTCGGCTCACTGCAACCTCAGCCTCCCGGGTTCAAGCGATTCTTCTGCCTCAGCCTCCCAAGTAGCTGTGATTACAGGCATGCACCACCATGCCTGGCTAATTTTTGTATTTTTAGTAGAGGTGGGGTTGGCCAGGCTGGTCTCGAACTCCTGACCACAGGTGATCCACCAGCCTTGGCCTCCCAAAGTGCTGGGATTACAGGCATGAGCCACCGTGCCCAGCCTCCTGAAGAATTCTTAGACTCTCCTCCCCCAGTATATCTGCTAACCTTAATTTGAGAAGCATGGAGTTTTCAGGACTGTATTGACGTGAGAGGTGAGGGAAAAGGAAAAAGCCTGATACGACGACTCCACGAACTCTAGTCTGGGAGTGCTTGGTGATTCTATTCACTGAAATCAGGAGTAAAAAACAAACAAACAAAAAGATACATTCAGAAGAAATGATGAGGTCAGTTTTGTTCAGTCTCAATTTGAGTTTCCTGCAATATATTCCCTTTCTGGTAGAGTAAGCTGGAGTTGGAGATATTTGGTAGTCAACAACGTCTGTGAAATTGGGAGTGTTGATGTGGTCACGCAGGAAGAACATGCAAAGCTAAGTAAGAAGGGAAGTTAGGCGAGGAAAAACAGCGTAGGTGAACAAAATTCCTGGAGAGTAGCAGTTAGCCGAGTAGGGTGGGGGACGGGGAGAGGAGAGGTAAGGAAGCCAAAAGAGGACAAAACTTAGGAAGAATGAAATGGGCAACGCAGATCAAGTAAGATAAAGACCTAAAAGAGTTACTTGTATTTGGTAATTAAGATATGACGGTGATTTCACTCTACTTAAATTACACAGTAAGTGAAATTTCAGTAGGGTGTGGGGGCAAAGTCTGATCATAGTGCATCTAAGAGCAGAGAAGAAGTGAGGAAATTTCGTAGCTAATAATTCAAGACTGTTTTGCTTTGTTGTGAAAAACGTAGTTGGAGGGGACTGGACCTGAAAACAATGCAATAAACAGGAGGTGGCGAATTGAGGGAACTCCCACTTCACATCGAATGGCCTCAATTTTCTTTGTACTATATGAGGCAAGGTCCTCTGTAGAGACTAAGAAGGGCAGAGCAGGGGCAAATGACTTTGGAGACTTGCTGAATGTTGGGAGAGGAATTTCGGCCCAGGAAATAGGCAAAAGGAAAACTTAGAGGTGCAGAGGACCCGGCTGAGGGTGTTTGACTATGAATTCAACTTGGCACCAAGCTCAAGACAATGTGACTTTCTCTTCCAGTTCAGGCCGGCAGAGTGTGAGACGCAGAGAATGCAGACGAAGGTTGAGTTCTATTTCAATTCCTATCCCCAAAAACCCAGATGTATGGACTCGAAGGCCTGTGGCCAAATTGTGCGTGGGTGCCTACTACAGATTTATGAAAAACACAGAAGGGCCAGCGTGTTTGCCTTCTAAGGCTTATTGTTCCGCAGCGTGGGCATCCTCAGGCCTTCACGGAAATCGAACCATTTTTTTTACGAGGGGGGAAAAACCTGGTGATAGGATGCGGGACTGTGCGTGACTTTCCTTCTCTCCGGATCCATCCCGGGGGAGGCTGGGCGGGCTGCTGCTCCGGTCCAGGGGTGGAGGTCGGGGCTCCGACCCGGCGCAGCCAGGCGGAAGCGCCGCTGCCATTGGCCGGGAGGCGGCTTTTACCTGCGCGGGACCCGGGGAGCAAAGTCCGAGGCTCTGGGAAGGAGGAGGCGGCGGCCGGCAGCGCAGGTGGGCCGGCGTCCTCGCCCGGCAAGATGCCCCTGAGGCTGCGGGGGAAGAAGAAGGCCAAGTCCAAGGAGATCGGGCGGGTGGAGGGCGAGCCAACGGGCGCGGGCGGCGGGAGCGTTTCAGCGTCCCCGACTCCCGCACACAAGCTGGTCTTCCACGCGCAGCTGGCGCACGGCAGCGCCACGGGCCGAGTGGAGGGCTTCTCCAGCATCCAGGAGCTCTACGCCAAGATCGCGGACGCGTTCGAGATCTCCCCGTCGGAGGTAAGGCGCCAGGTGCTCAGCCTCTCCGGCCTCTCCCGCGCCCAGCGCGGGTTTCGCTGGGCCCAGGCGGGTGGAGCGGCGCTTCCTGGAGGGGGAAATCCGATGCCGGGTGGATCCGCCGGGGGCGTCCCGGGGGGACGTGAGTGGGCCTTCCCGGGAAGGTAGAAGGTAAGTCTGCAGGACCGGAGAAAGTCACATTCCCCCTGGCTTCGAGATCTGGCCTCGGGGCAGCGGGTGCAGGGAGGCAACCTTTCTTCCGCTTGCAAATGTGTTTGCTCCAGTTGTTCCGGATTCCGCCAGCGGTTCAAGGCGTGAGCACCTTCCCAGACTGGAGTTCTGGCGGGGCAGAACTCATCTGGACTTTACTCTCCTGTTTCCTCCGCAGGCGTGACAGTCACGTAGATCATCTCCCCAAATTAGCAAAAAAAAAAAAAAAAAAAAAAAAAAATTTTTTTGAAGTGCCTTCCAGGTGATACCCAGATTAAATAGGGGGAAAAAAATTGAAGAGCCTTCCAGGTAAACCAAACCGATGCTCACTTTCCCCTCACCTATCATTTCTGGCACCAACACCATAAATCTTTTGGTGGTATTTCCAAGCAGTTAAAAAAGCTGGGCTGTTATTCCAAGAGTGGATAACCTGGAGATTCATACTTAATCACATGGGACTAGTTAACAAAATTTGCTTGAGGAAGATCAGCTGTTTTACATCATATCCTTAAAAAGCGTCTGAAATTTGCTTTAATTAGATGGCGTGCGGGCCTGGAACTGAGTTTGACACAGGCGTGACCTAAAGCACTAGTTTATATGAACGTTTATGTGACCCCTTTATTTGTGCTGACCCAAGTGAACTGCAAAGGTAGGTGTGAGAAATTAGCTCAACAAAATATTTTGTCCACATTTCTAGAAAAAGCACACAATTTTGTTGCCCTGGACTCACAGGAGGGCAGTGAACTGTCTTTGAGTGGCATATATAGGCACCTGGAGTTCTTTAATTAGTTGTTTATCAGGTCTGTTCAAGGCAAATAGAAGTCAAGGCAAAATGCCAAGAGGAGATGAAAGAGAGCTTGAAGGGTAACCTTTTGTTCTTTCGAAGCTCCCAGGTACTAAGGGGCAAATCTTGCGATTCCCATCTGTGAATTATTCGTATTGATATAGGATACTAATAATAATACTTTACATTTATACAGGATTTTTTTTTTTTTTCAAAAAACACTTTCATAGGACAGCTTCCTTTGATCATTAGGGGAGGCAGGTGGCAGGTTAAATATGGTAACTTGGACATGGAGCCAGGTTCTACCATTTGCTAGCTGTGTGGACTTGAAGGAGTTTAACCTCTCTGGGTTTTGGCTGTCTATAAAATAGGGATTAGAATACTTGGGCCGGGCGCGGTGGCTGACCCCTATAATTCCAGCACTTTGGGAGGCTGAGGCGGGCGGATCATGAGGTCAAGAGATTGAGACCAACCTGGCCAACATGGCGAAACCCCGTCTCTACTAAAAAGACAAAAATAAGCTGGGCGTGGTAGCACACGCCTATAGTCCCAGCTACACGGGAGGCTGAAGCAGAATTGCTTGAACCGGAGAGACAGAGGTTGCAGTGAGCCGAGATCTCGCTCCAGCCTGGTGACAGAGCGAGACTCTGTCTCCAAAAAAAAAAAAAAAAAAAAGAAAACGAAAAAGAAGAAAAGAATACTTGTCTTGAAGAGTATTGTGAAGACTGTAGTCCATATGTAAACATATCACATTGCATAGTTTATGGTCAGGGCTTAATACATGATAACTAATATTATTAATACCTAACAGTGAAATGAAGAGCTGAAGTGCAAAGATTGGCCCTTAACTAGGGTTACATACCTAGCAAGAAAATCTGAACTGTAATTTAAAGTTGGATCTTCTGATTCCTAAGCTAGTGAACTTGTTAGCATACTTAACTGACAACTTTAAATGTCTCTCTAGTAACCAGGGATTGCAGTTTTAGTTACAGATGGTCCTAGGTTTATGGTAGTTAGACTTAAGATTTTTGACTTTACCATGGATTTATTGGGAGGCAACTTCCTGGACTTATGATTTTTCTACTTTCCTATGGGCTTATTGGGGTATTAAATGCATTTTTGACTTAGGATATTTTTGACTCATACTGGATTTATTGGGATGTAACACCTTGATAAGTAGGAGCATCTGTATTTTGCATTAACCATTCTCATCCTTATATATGACATTATTCTGAGCTCAAGATACATGATTTTATTCAATCTACTTAATCTCTAAGAAGTAAATATTATTACTAATATCCCCACTTCACAGAGAGGGAACAGGCTTTGAGGTTCAGAATTTTTTCAGAATTACACATAGCAAGTGGCAGAGCCTGGATTTGAATTCAGCGCATTAAAAAAAAAATATTTTCTGTTTTTCTTTTCTTTTTTTAACGAGGTGGAGTCTCACTCGGTTGCCCAGGCTGGAGTGCAATGGTGCGGTTATAGCTGACTGCAGCTTCAAACTCCTAGGCTCAGGCAATCCTCCTGCTTCAGCCTCCCAAGTAGCTGGGACTATAGGCATGTGCCACCACATCTGGCTAATTAAAAAAAAGTGTTTTTTAGAGATGTAGTTTTTCTGTGTTGCTCAGACTGGTTTGAACTCCTACTCTCAAGTGATCCTCTCACTTCAGTTTCTTGAATAGCACAGACATGAAGCCATTGTGCCCATCTTTTTTTTTTTTTCCCTCCCATGAAGGTATATTGTTTCCCAAGTTTTCCAGAATCTCAGCAATAGCTTTGGTAGCCATGTTCAACATTTTCAGTGGACTGACTTGCAAGATCAGATTCCAAGATAATATATACAAAGTGTTTTGATGTGTTATATCAAAGTTTAATTATAAAATTTTATAACTCCAGTATATGTGTATTTTACCATGTATATGCATGTAACCAACATTGATGGAAGCTTTCCACCTGGATAAAAAAAATAATTATATGCAGGATAAAGTATTGGTCATCATAGTATAGTATGCGTATTTTAGTGGTTCACTTTGAACAGAAGTAACTTATTAAAATGAAATGCACACCAAGGAGATTCCATTTTCGTAGCCCATTTCCCAACTAAGCAATTATCTCAGCAATAATGATGTAAATGCTTTTTTTGTTGTTGTTTGTTTGTTTTTAGAGATGGAGTCTTGCTCTGTCACCCTGCCTGGAGTGCAGTGGCATGATCATGGCTCACTGCAACCTCTGCCTTCTGGGTTCAAGTGATTCTCCTGCCTCAGCATGCCTAGTAGCTGGGATTACAGGCATGTACAACCATGCCTGGCTAATTTTTGTATTTTTAGTAGAGACAGGGTTTCACCGTATTGGCCAGGCTGGTCTTGAACTCCAGACCTCAGGTGATCTGCCCACCTTGGCCTCCCAAAGTGCTGGGATTATAGGTGTGAGCCATTGCATCTGGCCCTGTGATGTAAATAAGTTTTGAGATGCCAGTGGGGACAAAAACATTTGCACCCCATTAATAGAATTGAATAGACAGTTAACTCAGACATCCTGCCTTTTTTCTAGAGTGGTGGCTGTCAGGATATAAACAGCACTCTAGAAGAGCTATCCACTCTTTATTGAGGAAAAAGGGGAAGGACTTGATGTCAGGTGGAGCAGATAACTCAGGACCCATAATGTGCCCACAGCTGTGCTAGGCTTATAAGCTTACAGTGTGTTCACTCCATCTTCACCAGAATAATTTCATTTTACAGTTGAGCTAAGTGAGGCTCGGAGAAGTTAAATTGGCTGGTATGATGCTGAGCCAGGATTTGAATTCTGGTTTCCTGGTTCCAAGTCTATTGTATAGCAGCTGTGCGATTCTTGGTAGCTGTATTAAAATTCCAAATGCAAACCTGGAAAAACCTTTTTTCATTTTTGAGATGGAGTCTGTCTGTTGCCTGGGCTGGAGTGCAGTGGTGTGTGTGATCTTGGTTCACTACAACCTCTGCCTCCTGTGTTCAAGCGATTCTCCTGCCTCAGCCTCCCGAATAGCTGGGATTACAGGTGCACACCATCATGCCCGGCTAATTTTTGTGTTTTTGTAGAGACAGGGTTTCACCATGTTGGCCAGACTGGTCTGGAACTCCTGACATGAGGTGATTTTGCCCACCTCAGCTTCCCAAAGTGCTGGGATTACAGGCATGAGCCACTGTGCCTGGCTAGTTCCAAGTCTATTACATAGCAGCTGTGAGATTCTTGGTAGCTGCATTTAAATTCTAAATACAAATCCAGAAAAACCTCTTTTGTAAACAAGCTTTTGTGATAAAAGCCTCAGACTTAACCACAAATATATTTATTGCCTCAAAAAGATGCTCTTGTGAGACTGACAGTTGTGGATTTCAGCTAGTGTTTTGTGGTCCCTGAAGGAATAAGCTAATGAAGATTATGAATCAGTTGAGATTTGTTATTAAGTTGAAACAGATGGCCAGCTATGTAAAAATTCCTCAGATCTGATGCCTTTTTTGAAAACAATTAAATGAACAATTCAGTAAAAAAAAACAAACCCTATAATCTCATCAAAGAACAGTTAAGTCATACATAAATGCAAGGACTCTTCTTGAGAAAGTTTAATAAATTCCATCTTTTAAAATATCCAGGTTACATGAAAGCCCTTGAGCTATGGTCATAAATTTTGTTGAAGGAGCATTTTGAATACTTGACTACTGTAACTGGCACGTTGTTTGTACCATGATATATTTTCTTAGTTCTCTATTATGCAGAAAGATTGTAGGAAAAAATGAATGTGAAAACTTCTTAAGATAAGCTTTATAGCTAGAAACTTTATGTGTCCAGAAACTGGAAACTCAGATGCAGTTTCTCTGAAGAATTCAGAAATTATTTCCTTTTACTTGTCTGGATTAGTTAGTGTGTGATATTAGATACCAAATAGTTCACTGAATAATAAATGAGTAATTCAGTGACTTATTCCCTCTCCATACATAAAGTAGTCAAAGAAAGCAGAGTACTTAAGAAGCAGAAA